GAAGGGTTTCTTTAGGGCTCTTATAGCTTGATTTAACTATGCTCAAAATATGTTACATTTACAAAATTGACATTTTGCGATTCCTTTAGCAAGTTCCTTGTTGAAATAAACAGCTTATCGGCTTTATTTGATTTACCTAAGCGCCGCAAAGTTTTCCGTCCAAAGCTCAAATAATACAGCCTCGAAGCAGTGGCTTCATTTAATGGACCCATTGCGGGATTTGGCCGACTTTTGATATTAAACTGTGGGAGTAAAATTTAAAATAAAATTTAAATTTTACGCAATATCAGATGGTTGTGGTAATGATGATTTTATATTTTTCATTACACTGATACGAAATTTGATAAGGGAATTACTCGCGGCGAATGTGATAAATGTGTTTTCTTATGGGAAAATGTACAGGTAACATATTTCACATTGGCAAAAAATGTAAGAAATGTTGATAGTGGAATTGGCCTATTACTTTCCTGAAATATCTTAAACAAAAATGTTTTCTGGCAAAAATCTTTTTTCCATATGTCAGCTCCTATAGCAACTATATGGTATTGTGATCCCTTACTGATAAGTTTAATAGACCGTTGTCATGTAGTTCGATTCGTTAGAATTTAGGCTATGTTTTGGATGCAACAAGAGGATGTAATCACGCTAAGTTTTATTATGATACCTTAAAAACCGAGAAACTAATTGCATAGACTGAGACCCGAATATAAAACCTGATTAGGAGTATGTATACTTTATAGGATTGCAGATGCGTCACACAATGTCTGATAACATGAATACAACTCTTTGATAGAGTATTAAAAAAACGGCAGCGCGTACAACCAGGAACAGTACCAAACAGTAGCTCTTTATACATATACATAAGTTTATGTATATATAGTATATATCTCGCCTTTATTTATCGTTGCATACGTTCCCCTCACATCGCAGACAGACTCTTGCTTTACGATCAGGTCCGTGTGTGTGTACTCCAGGCGCATAAAAAACTCTTGCCACATGTGGCAAAAATTCTGCTGTCTGTCAGCATAATTTTCTTCTTTCTCTCAGCTCGATTTTAATTGCATTTGCTGCCGCTGGTCGGCATGCTCGTAACGGCACCCACATAGAATGCTGTTTTACCAGTTAATCCTTCCTATGGAGAGCCATAACCATCATTAATGACAAGTCTTGTCGCCAGCTCATCATCAAACTGGTCTCTGACAGTGTTCGCAGTCGTGAAATAGGTTAAAGAAACGCTAGAGAAACCACTTTTCCGATTGGGCAAGCTAAACAAAAGGTGGCTTGGAAAATCAAGGAAATTTGTAACGCGTTGAATAAAAAGATACTCGCTTTTAACTGAATGCCAAAATATGGAGCTGAGTGTCTAAAATTAGTAATTCGAATTAAATATTTATAATCAAATCAATGGGAATTAAAGTCAAGAGAAGTCTCTAAGAATTGTTACCGAGGTAACCAACAGTTTGAGCTGGTTGCTAAACCCCAACAACAAACTCTCCCTCCGAAACAAGTTCCTTATCTATAAGGTAATCCTTGCCCTTGTGTGGTTATAGGGACTCCAGGTTTACGTCATAGCCGCAAAAACTGACCTAAACAAACTTCGCATCATTGAGCCCAAGACCTTGCGAACAATTTCTGGGCCCCATTTGGTATATTCGCACAGAGGACATCGCAAAGGGTCAACGCACAAGTTCCGCAAGCACCCTAAAGCCCAGGCAAGGAACCTGCTAAAGAGGCGAAGAAGAAATACCCGTAACAAAATAGTCTAGTCCAAACAAAATAAACATATACATAAACCAACTACTGTAACTGTAAATATGTTAGCTTGGCCACCTTAAACCAAAACTGTTGTTACCATGAACCTTATGAACCCTGCTAAAAGTTTCTAATAATATAATATATCAGATAATAATAAAAAAAAATTGAGAACAAGAGAATTACTGTCACTCTTGAGAATGTGTTGAATATTATCACATGTAATTTATAAAAGACACACCCGATCTATATATTTATATATATATATATTTTCTTGTGCATATTATTCTCAGTTTTAAAGCTATTCTAATCAAGTCATAGAATCCTCCCAATTATACCTTTACATCATATAGTACCCTCTGGAACTGCCCGTAATGGAGCTTTAGCATAAGAAATGTTTTTGTTACTCAGCATATTATCAATCAAACCTGCAATTACGAGCTTAACAATTCTTTTTTAATTGATAAGCATTGATCGACTGACTTGTAATACAGCTACACGATTTATCTGCTGGAAATAGTGCCTTTTGTCTTCCAAGATATCTTAGCCAAACTCAACAATTACAATTTTCTTCCAGCAAAATCCTACCAAACTTCGAGTTATATAACATATAGATTTTGGTAAGAAAAACCCCTCTATGTGGCTATATAGAAACAAGCTTTATGCCTGCAGGGGTATTTAATCTTCGCTACTGCAAAGATAGATATGTTAGATAAATGTTTTTTTATAATATTGTCTCGAAATGTGTAGCGCATAGAAGGAGACATATCCGACCTCATAAAGTATTTATATTCTTGATCAGTATCAACAACCGAGTCGATTTAGCCATGTCCCAGTTTTAAAGCTATCGTCATAAAATGTGGCATATGTCCCACTTTCTGTTGGGCACAGTACATATGACGGATCTGGATGGATATATATAACTGCTATTTGAACAATCGGTTGAAAATTAGGTTCTTGTGTACGAGAAACCTTTTGTTTTTCAGGATATCAACCATACTCGGCATAAACTATTTACCCTGTGCTTCTTAGATACGAGAAAAGCATTGTGAAAAGTTTCAATTTGCAAGGGTATTAAATCTTCGGCGTAGATAACCCTTCTTTCTCGTTTTTACTTTGTCTTTACATATTAATTGCCGTTCGTATCAAATTAAACTTCATTAAATCCAGCCTAAGGCGTAGAATGTGACAATCACACACACAGAAATACACATACACACGCACATATACAGTAAAACGCTACTGATGATGTCAGCACTTGTGCTTGAAAGGGCGGCGTTGCCAATAAAAAAAAAGAAGAAAAAACCGAAAAAAGTAAAACCCCACTCGCAATAAGCTTTACGAATAACTGTTATTTTGAACAAGCTGCTGCTTCTTCTTCTGCTGGCCTCCGCCTTGGCAAGTGAGTTGTCGCGCTTATCTCTAGCCTACTCCCTCAGTCACCCAGACACACACACACACACATACACCTACGCATACAGGCAGACATAAGCTGATAACGAACTGCGTGTGTAAATAGACAGCAGCAAGCACAACAACAACAACAATAATGTTTATCTATATTTCAACGTGTGTTGTTCTTGCTATCAGCTGCCTTTAACTAATAAACGAAGCAGCTGAACACGAAAAGCCGCTAAACAAACATGTCATTTGTATAAATGTGTGCGTGCGTGTGTGTGTGTTATCGAACTGTACACGTTTTTTTTATATTTTTTTTTTGTAAATTATGCAAATGCGTAATTGCGAATAGTGCATAAAATCGTCCGAAACAGCTGCAGGTCCGAGCAGAGCTGCGCTTAGAGCTGCGTCCGAGAACGCGCGACTAAGGCTTTGCAGTCGTGCGTTTTATTTGATTGGCGTGACAAAAGCTCAGCCGCACGAAATGAAAGCGAAAATGTGTTGAAAAATCAACAGTCTAATATGTGTGCAAGAGTGAATGAGAGGTCGGGACAGAGAGCGTGCGAACCAGAGTAAAAGAGAGAGAAAAGAGAGTGTGTGTGTGTGGGAGAGAGCGGAGCGTGGGAGCAACAAATGCAATGACCTGAATTTAAAGGGCGCTAGCAAGTTCGTGTGTGTGTTTGTGTGTGTGGGTGAAAAGGTAAACATGTGAGCCAAAAAATAATTGAGAGGTGCAGGCAAATATAACAAATAAATCAAGGCGCGGCAGGCGGTGACAAGTGCTTACAGTTATTCAGGCATGCCTTAACAGTTGTATTGTTATAGGCTGGTGCGCATGTATGCATTGTATTGTGTATACATATAAGCAACGTCCTTGTGCCTAACACAACAGCAAAGGAGCGGATTGGGGGGAGAGGAATACTCGCAGCGCCACCCAGTTAGCTGTTGTCAAAGTCTACACTTGCCTTTGTGTGCGTGCGCGGGTATGCGTGTGCCTGTCCGTGTGATGCTGTACGCCTTTCTCTGTATGCGTGTGTGTGTGTTCTGGAATTTTTGCGTGCTTATTGAATTTTCAGTGCTTTCAACGACACAAATGAGTTTCGCCAATGCACAGAGCACGCTTTCAACTTTTTTGTTTTAATCAATTGAATTAAATGGTATTCTATTAAATTTACATTGTCAGTTACGTTCTTTTTATTGCGCCGCTGCTGCGCCCTTTACGCATACATACACACAAACTCAACACTCACACACCGACACTAAATTTTTCACTGGTGCAAAAACGGTTAACCAAGTAAACAGCTAAAGCACACATTTAATGGCAAATAAAAACTTAAAATACTGCACGCACATGTTAATTTTTGATGGTCAAATTGTTGTGTCAGGCCTGCGCGCCCATTTTGTTTACAGTTTTTTTTTTTTATATTTGTCAATAGCCCGTTTAAAATGCAAATTGCATTTTTTAATGAAATTTTTGCGCGGTGCATGGAAATTTGTCCGAACCGTTCAAGACAACGCCATTTTTACTTCTGACAGCTGTTCGAGTTTAGTGCTGTGCGATGTATATATTAATATCGATAACTAAGTGTTGCCAAATATCGATAGGCTGTCACTTTAAAAGTATGTCACTGCACAGAAACCGGTATCGATACCTTGTCATGCTATAATCACTAACCATACATTGTATGATTAGTGCTATAATGCAAAGCAAATTTAAGTCAGTTTAATTTTAAGGCGCGTATTTTTAAATTTTCTTTTTGCCCCCGTTATAGACTATTGTTGTTTTTGTAACATATCAATACTATATATAATTGTTTTTTTTTTTTCATTTTAATGCCCGCTCTTATTTATATATAATTTTTGCTTTGTGTAACATACGGATTTACGCGTTAAAAAAATATATGGTAACAATAAATCGCATGCATTAATGACTGCTTAAATAACTAATAGTTTGCGAAACAACTCATTTCTTGGCCTTGGCCCTGGGCTTGGCTGGAGCTTTGGCACTTGGCTTCTTGGCGACGGCTGCCGGCTTCTTTTTGGCCTTGATCAGCCCATCCAGTTCCAGTTTGTCCTGGTCCTCCTCATCGCTGGACGCAGCCAACTGGGCGCCCTCCCCTTCCTCCTCGCCAAGCAGTAGACCGGCCTCCTCCTCCTCGCCGGCAGCCTCAGCGCGCTTCTTCTTGACGTTGGTCTGCGCGGAATAGGAATAGGCCATCACCTCCTTGTTGTAGGCACGCGTCAGCGCCGCTTTGACACGCCCATCGACGGAATCCATGGGCGACTTTTTGCCTGGCCAGGTGGTCAGCTCGATCAGCGATTCCAGATCCTCGCGCAGCAAATGATAATCCTTCATGACCTGCAGCGCAACCGGGACGCCCTGCTGCCCATCCTGCGCCAGCGGACGCACAATATTGGCCAGCAGGTGCGGCGCATATTCCAAACGGACCGACAGCCTGGAGCCCGAGGTGCAGATGCGTGTGTGATCGTGCAGCTCCTGGGCCAGCCGAGAACGTTTGCTGCTGCGCGAGTTTTTGCCCAGCCAGCTAGGAAAATTGATCTGGCCCGTAAAATGGCCACACATGTACTCCCCCGGCAACAGGGAGCTAAAGACGGCCTGCGTGGGCAGCAGACTCCACGCGGAATTGGCGCGTATGCGCTTATCCACCATATCGCCCAGACTGAGAGCATCCGCAGCGGCCGCGACCTTGGCCAACACTTCATTCCGATTGCCCTGCGGCAGGACCTGGAGATAGTTTTGCTGCACGAAGAGCGGAGCCAGGCTGTAGTCGTGGAAGAACAAATCGCACTTGTCATAGATGGTCATGTGCTTGTGCTCGTCGGCGGTGAAGACCTTGCGTACCACCTCCCACGGGCCCAACTTGAGATCCTTGGCGGCCACCTGTTGGTTATTTGTGGCTTGCGGCAGCTGCTCGCCAGCGCTGAGGAGCGCAATGTGATTGATGGTCTGGCGTATATCGTTGTTAGTGGCGGCTATGATCTCCTCCAGCTTGGCGGGCGGTATCTTTAGCTTCTCCTTGAAGCATATGCTCATGATGCGACCCTTAATCTGTTCGGCGCGCGGTCGCTGGAAGCGCAAATCGTAGCAGTAGTTGACCAGGGATCGTATCTTGGGATGATTGCGATCGTTACACATGCATATAATTGGCACGGAACTGTCCTTGATTAGAGCTATCAGCTCCTGCATGCCGCCGCGATCCTCGTTGCCGGCCATGCCGTCCACCTCGTCCATGATCAAGACGTGCTTCTTGGACACCCCCTGCGACTGGCCATGCACATAGCCAGCGAGCGACTTGTTGCCCAACAGGCTGGACACCTCCTCCTTGAGCAGACGCTTGCTGCGCGTATCCGAGGCATTGAACTCGACCGCATCGAATCCCAGCTCCTGGCAGACGAGCGTCGCTGTCGTCGTTTTACCTATACCCGGCGGGCCCGACAGCAGCGCCGCCTTGAAGAAGCTGCCATCGTCATTCTTCGCCCAGGGATTTGGACGCTGCGGCTTGGTTTTGCCATCTTGATTCACATACCACTTGCTCAGCCAGTTCATCAGCCTGTAGGGCATGAGATTAAGCAATTAAATTTTTAATTTTTCTACGGATATTTTCTAATACGAGTTGGAAACCCCTTTTTCCACCCATTGCGGTTTTTCCGAAACCTGTGAAATCATCCGATTTTTATAAATTTTAGATCTAGAGAACTTATCCTAAGTCTCGGCTCGGAGTTGACTAACATCAGAAACTGTGCAAAATTCGGCTTCAATCAGTTTGAATAGTCAACTAGTAAATCAATCAATCAATCAGACAGTTGGTCATTCAATAAGCTAGTTATTAGATAGATTTATAAGTCAGGAAATCTCTTAGGCGATCAATCATTTTCTCCATCATTTGATCATACACTGAATCAATCAGTTTGAAAATCAGATAGTCGATCAATCAGGCAATACGTCAATAAGTCATTTGTGTGTTACGCAGATGATCAATTATTAAATCAGAAAGTCAATCAGTACGTCCATCAATCAATCAGCCAGTCAAGCAATCAGTACGTTCATCAATCAGTCAGTCAATCAATCAGTACGTCCATCAAGCAATCAGTCAGTCAATCAATCAGTTGACAGTGAAGTACTAAATCAACTATAAATATTAGTCAAATCAATTATTCAATCACTCGATCAATCAGCTTGTCCATTACTCAATCATTTTCTGTATATCGACTACTCACTTGTTGACATTGCTGCCCGGTCCGGCCTGGCCGACAATCTCTTTGATGGAGTTGGGCTTGTATTTGTCCACCCAGGCCATATTGCTGCTGATATCCTCCTCTGTCGTGGCCGCATCCACATTGTTGTTGGGCTCCTTTTTAACCTTGGGACTGACGCTTGGCTCTGGCTTCACCTTTAAGGCGTGCTCCCCCTTGGAATTGCTGCTCTTGCTACTCTTTATCTGCTCCGGCTCATGCGTAATTTTTGAGCTGCTCTTCTCCTTCTGCTCATGCTTAATCTTTGAGCTGCTCTTCTCCTCCCTCTCATGCTTAATCTTTAAACTGCTTTTTTCCTCCTGCTCGTGCTTTATCCTTGAGCTGCTCTTCTCCTCCTGCTCGTGCTTAATCTTTGAGCTGCTTTTCTCCTCATGGTCCTTCTTTACTTTTGACCCGCTGTTCTTCTCCTCGTGCTCCTTCTTAATCTTCGAGCTGCTGCCCTTCTCCTGCTTCACCTTGGGACTCTGTTCCACTTTAACGCTCGGCCTCTCGCCGGATCTCTCCCTTATCAAATCGAAGAGCCCATCCTCGCTGATGATGGTCACATTGTGCTCCTCAGCTTGGGCCAGTTTCTTGGGTCCCGCCTCCTCGCCCACAACCAAATAGTTGAGCTTCTTACCCACCACAGTCATGACACGGCCACCGAATCCTTTAATTACCGATGCAGCCTCATCCCGCTCCATAGACTCCAATATGCCCGTGACCAGAAATGTTAGGCACTTAAGGCAATCGGGCGCACCTTTGGGTATCTCTTTGCTGCCTGGATTCAGGCAGCTGCTGCGATTCTTGTACTTCTGATAGAGCATGGCGGACATGCGCTTGCGCTCGTGACGCTCCTCATCGGACAGCACGCTGCTCTCCAGATCTGCATGCTTCTCCTGCTTGACACGCGGCGTCGTTGCCTTCGGTTTCTTGGGCGTCGCCTCTGGCGTCGGCTTCGGGCTGCTGGCCTTGGCGCGCTTGCGACTGGGCGTTACAGCGGGCGGCTGCGGCGGCGACGGTTCATCGAGATCCACCTCCATAAGACTGCGATCGATGTCCTCATCCTCCATTTCCAGGACAGTGCGCTCCTTCGGCTTGGGCGCCTCCACGCGCTTGGTTTCGCCGCCAAACAGCTCTGAGGGATCCACCTTTTTCAGCTGCTTGGGCGTCTCTTTCAGCTTGGAGAGCGTGGGCTTATTGGAGTGCCCATTCTCTGGCGCCCGACGTGTTTTCTTCAGCTCCTTGCCGTGCTTGCTCAGCTGCGGACTGGCGGGCACCTCGTCCTCATCGCTGGATATGACGAGCGCTTTGCGTTTGCGGGGCGCCGGCGAAGGCGACGGCGTCGCATCCTCGTCGCTGGTTTTCTTGCCCGGCAGCCGCTTGAAGAACGAGTCTATGCCCTGTTTTTAGCAGCAATTACATGCATATAAAATCAATTTTATGGTATAAAAACTTTAACTTACTCGCTGCATTTTTCAACTCAATTCCTCATTAATGTTAAAGCAGCAAAAAGGCGCACAATAAAAAAATCGATATTTTTTGGCATTTATATCGTTTAAGTGTGACCGTTGGCAGTCATTGCTGTTGGCCGACAGCTGTGTCGACCAAACTTGCCACATGTGCTAAAAAGGTACCAAAATGGGCCATAATAGTACTTTTGGTACGTGTTACAAATGTACCTAACTGGGAACATGAATGTACTACCTCCATTCGCAGTGTGCATGTACCTAATTGTTTCATTGCATACTCATGTTTGCATATATATTTTAATGTATTGAATATGCTTCTATATAACTGAAAATATCGTGAACAGCATATGTATGTAAGTTTGAAAAAATTGCATATATAATTTTAGTGATTTCTGGTACATTTAATTTAATTTAAATTCAAATTGGCAACGCCAACCAAAGAGCTTAGCTTATGTCAGGGTGCAATTTTCAAATTTAAATGAAATTCATGCAAGCGTTAAATTTTAATTTGCAACAACAAATTGTTTTGCGCTGACCAAACGGCTTAAGTTTGCATTGATTTAACATGTTATTTGACACATGCTCCATCAATCTTGCGCTAATGCCAACTAATCAAGTCGAATCACATTATCAACGTCACCCTCAAACATTTATTATTTTGGACTTAAGAGGCCGCACAAGCTGTTTAGTTGCATTTACAAGGCATTAGAAATAACCCACCCCCCACACAGCCACGAGTTGGAAAACTGTCGCACAGTTCGCTCGCGCGCTGATTACACGCACAATTAAGGGTTGTGGACAGGCGCCATTGCCCTCTTGCCTCACCCACCCACCCGGCGACCGCACGCGGTCCGCTTTTGTGCGGCTTGCGGCCTGTTGCACGTGCGAATACTAACAACAGCAAGAACGCCGTCTAAATGTTACCCTTGGGTCCAGCAGTGAACGATGATCGCTACTTAAACTTGATTTTTGATTAAATTGAATATAAACAGGGGGGAAAAATCTTCAACTTAACATTTGCTGGGTCAATTACACATAAACATGCCATGATACACTTGTATAATGCGGTTTTTGCAATAAAGTGTGAAATTCTTTGAACTACACGACAATTAACGGCTTTTAATTTTAATTTGTGATATTTACAACAGTGCTGCCAGCTTGTCTGTAATTCATAGCATTTAGCTTTTGTAAATGTATCAAATAGCAACCGCTCAAGTGCCGCTATTTCAGTTTAGTGCGTGTTCTTTTTCGCGGCTTGTGTTAGTTCGGTTTTAATTTGTAAAACTAATAGTATTAGATAAAGATATTTGTATGGGTAGTGTTTGTGCTTATTTATAACATATTGAGCTCTGTGTTGAAACTTAAGGCTGCCGGATATTAGGCGCAAGTGAGTTAAAAATGGCCAAATTTGATTTTCTTTGCATTTGCGATATGCTTGTGTGAGCACGCGCGAGGCGCCAAAACGTCTCCTTGTTTCATGTTGTTGTTATTGTTGCTGCTGTTGCGCAACAAGTTGATAACTTGACACATTGACAATTGTGCATTCATTGACAAACCGCAAGGGGAGCGCGTTGAAGCATATAATAAACTGCTGATTTTTGGGGGCAAAAAATCTGACACAAATAATCGGGAAAAAGGGTTGTCCAATTGCCAATCGCCCACAGGCAGCCGGACACATGATAAAGTTCCCACACACACACACCCACACACGCACGCACCCATGAATATAAATTGACTTGCGCGTCAAATTACATTAAAATTATACACAAAAGTCGATATGTAAATAGAATAAGCCGACTTTTCGCGCCCTATGCTTTGTTTTCCTAGGGGGGCGTTTTTCGCCGCTTACGCCTGCAAATCGCATTTACACGCATTTATTACATTTTGCATTAGATTACGTGACGTTGATTGCTGGCAAAGTGTTGCCAGTTTTTTTTTGTGCGTGACTTTTGTTTAATTCCCATTGGGCACAAGTGCGGGCATATTTGGTGCGTGTGTGTGTATGTGTGCGCGTGCCAGTGTTTACTTGGTGTTGTTTTTGCTACTAATTTGAAAATGGCGTGTGATTGCAAACACTTGTTCAAAAGCAACCCACCCCCGCCCCCCGTAACGTTCAGCACCCGCTGCTGTTTGCTTTTAGCGTTTATCGATCATCAGCATAGGCCAAATAGACCCCGCCTACCCTAGTGCTAATCGCCCGCCCCTTACTTTTGCCATTTCTTATTCTCACTGACTTTAATTCTCTTCTCTTTGTGTCGCCCTTTCTCTTTAATCGTGATTAATTGTTTTGACGCATTATTTTGATTTGATATTTATCAAAATGTCGCAAAACTCGCGCTTAGCCTTTTATTATGTTTATTTAACTGATTAATCTCGGGGTCTTTTGGGCATATTTCGCTGATGAAATTCACCGAAATTAGTTTTGCATTCGGGGTTTTATGCTAATTTCTGTGTCAGCTAAGCTAGTGAAAAATTTTCTTTTCCTGTTGCCTGAGCTGCAACTAATTATATTTATTAAAGAAACATTCGACTATTACTCACGGCCACGTTTTAATATATGATTTAAGTATATGAAATATCGCACTTCGCAATGTGTGAACCCATTTGTATAGCTTGTGAAGCTTTTAAATGTGTAAGCTTATTAAGTTTGAGAAACTTTAATAATCAAAATAAACTATAAGCTAGATAAAAATAAGTTAGAGTGCTCCAGTGAGAGATACAATGCACCTGGCCGATCCTTAGCAAAGATAAGGGCATAAATATGGCATCAAAATGTAAATAAATACGAAGGCCCTACTATTTAGAGGAAACGGGGTCAGGTAATATATTCGACTTATATCGAGAGTCAGCATACCAGATTTGGTGTCTCCAGCTCCAATAGGCTCAGAAATATGCTAAAATACACAGTTTCTATATCAATGTTTAACGGTTCTCTTGAAATCGACGTAACGTAGCTCTATATAAGCTTTTAGACTTTGCATATAGAAGCTACTTTGAATATTTTGAAGGCTCTAGCTCTTGTAGTATCTGAGATTCACGCTTTCAATTTAACTTCCATGGAGAGACAGACGGTCAGAAAAGAGGCCTATTTCAGTCCTACCATGTCATAAACTCCTTATGAAATCTGTTTTAAATTTAACGTATTATTTAATTTAAATTTCAACTTTATTCAAACTTAGCAACTACAAGCTTAACCTAGCTCCCATTTAACTGACACCTTTCGAAATCTGAATATTTTTTCTTGTTTCTACAATATTTTGACAATGTTCTACAATTGCAAATGCCACAATCTGTCCCGAGTTTCTTGGGCATTCCTTAAAGTTGACTCCGCCTTCAAGTTGAATTTCATGTGAACTGGAAGTTCATTTAAAGGACGTCGGTTCCGACTACACACAAGTTGGTCGTCGTTTTCATTGATTTCAATTTGCTTTCGTTGCGACGCCATATTTCAATTTCTGACCGTCGCACAATTTACAAGCCATAGCATGTGTCTCCAATCTACCCAGCCCCAGCCCCAGCCCCAGAACCTTGGCCCTCTCACAACTTGGCTTAAAACGCGCGCGCGTGTGTGTGTGTGTGTGTGTGTGCAAGCAGACAGAGGCGTTTTGGGGGGGTTCCGTTCAACAGACGGACAGGACAGCTTAATTGATGAACAAAGGCGTTTGGGCCAAAGTTTTGCTTAGGCGAGAGAGATACGAGCATGTCTCAGCAGAGAGGAGAGATGAGAGTAGAGGGCACCAGGTAATGTGTGTGTGTGTGTGTGTGCTGGGCCGGTTGTAGTCATCGTCTACGGAGGACTTGCAGAAGTCGTACAAAATATTTAACACCCGCTGCGCGTATTTATGGGAGAATGAACCTGTGTCTTCGACGTCGTCTCCACCATTTTGTCTAAGACGCGCACGCGGACATTCACAATGAAGTTGCGACTTCTAGTTCCAGTTCGCGAATACATTTTCACGTGAACTAAAGCTGCGAATTTGTACATTTGTTCAGTCCAGTAGTTCGCTATATTGTGAGCTATGAAAGCTTAATAAAAAATGGTATAAGACGTGTATTATAAATTTAGGGCAACTCATTTTCAAGCCCGGAAAACGGGCTGAAAAACTGATGTATGGAACTTTTATGCTTTGTACTATATCGAAAAAATTTTCCAATATGTATGTAATATGTAAAATGTAAACATTGGAGTTGCGACTTCTAGTTCCTAAAAGCTTTAAAAGCTTTATACAAAAATGATATAATACGTGTATCATTAATTAATTTTAATTCACTTCAAAGCCGGAAATAATTTTCCAATAACTTTGTAAAATTTTAAATGCTGCAAATTTGAACATTTGTTTAATGCAGCAGTTCATGATTTTAAGAGCTTTAAAAGCTCTTTAAAAAGTTGTATAATACGTATATTATCAATTTAGGGTAATTCACATCCAAGTGCGGTAACTGGGTGAAAAACAGATGTATGGAACTTTTACGCTTAGTACTATATCGAAACAATGGAATTGGGACTTCTAGTTAAAGTTCGTCAAACATTTTTTTTGCGAATTTGTACATTTTTTTAATCCAGTAGTTCGTTATTTTGTGAGCTTTGAAAGTACTATATAGAATGGTATAAACGTGTCTCATTACGTAACGTTAATTCACTTCCAAGCACGGAAAATGGGTAAAGAACAGATATATGGAACTAACTAACTATTATTACGTGCTCTATCGAAATAATTTTCCAATATCTATGTTAAATGTGATGTGAAACGTGTTTCACGTTTTGCGAAAAATTCACTTGTTCAATTGAACTTGTTCTGAACGAATCGTCACAGCTCTCGTTCACAGTCGTCCTCATGCTCAGCCGCGTGTTGTCTCCTTTAGCAGATTTGCAATTCCAATTGGCGCGACGTAGTCGACTGTCGGTCGTCTGGCGTTCGCTCTCCACCGATGATTAGTGCTCATCGCCGTTGTTTCCATCTCTGTCTAGTCTTTAAGTGGGGGGTACGGGAGGCAGGGCGATTTCTCAATGGCCGCCAGTTCGGGATGTCCAAGCTGTCCGGTGTTTATTCTGCCCACCGTTTAACCTGA